ATATGCTGACACCCCCACCGCTCCTGTTAAACAATCAAACAGAGTGCTCGCGGGCCTCACGAACATGACTCCAGGCTTTGCCCCGGACTGTATTGTGTATTGTTTTCTGACAGGGACGGTTGGGGGGGGCGCATCGGATTTGCCTCGCGTGCTCCACATGTAGAGGCAGATTGTGTTTTGTATAGTTTTTGATTGGGATGTCGGGGGAGAGGGCCCTCAATGGTGTCCTCATTGTTCCTGATTGGCTGCCGGTCGCCTGGGGGAGGGGGTGTATATTTATAGGGAATAGTGATACACCCGTCCCCAAAGGGGCAGGGGGTTGGAAGAGGAAACTCCCTAGACCACCTACGTCCAGAGGGCTGGTGTGATTTGCCACTGATGTTGGTTTCGGGGACGCATTTTTTACGATGTACAACGGATTGTGGCCTTGGGAACGCAAGTCCAGCGTACTGTCAAAAGGGGTTGTAGCATGGGGAACGCTAAGGTGGCGTAAGTTACGAAGGATTGTTGCCTCGGGAGCGCCAGCGCGCTGTCCTTTACCAGGGATTGTGGCTTCGGGGACGCAAGCTTGATATTGCTTTGACCGTACTGTTGTTTGGGGAGCGCGAATCGGGCGAGATGTGCTACGCACTGTGGGCTGGGGAGCGTGAGGGTGGCGCATGTTATTTCGGATTGCGGCCTCGGGAGCGCCAGCTCGTAGTACTCATAAGGGGTTGTGGTTTCGGGGACGAAGCCTTGTTACCTTGTGGTAACTTATGAGGGGTTGTGGTCTCGGGAGCGCGAGCCTGATGCAATTTACCAAGGTACTGTGGGGTGGGAAGTGCGATGGGGTTGCCTCAGGAGCGCCAGCGCGATGTAATCTGCGAGGGATTGTGGCTCTGGAGACGCAGAGTGGTAGCACAGTATGATGGGTTGCGGTCTCGGGTGCGCGAATCTAATTCACTGGGGACTGTTGCTTGGAGGAAATGAAGGTGGCGTAATGTACCAAAGATTGTGGCTTCGGGAGCGCAAGCGCGGCGTAAGTCGAAAGGGATTGCGGACTCGGGAGCGCGAAGGCGGCATAAGTTGTAAGGGATTGTGGGTTGGGGAGCGCAAAGGTGGCGTAGTTTACTGCATATTGTGGCCTCGGACGCGCAATTGCGAAGTTTTCTGTCAGGGATTTTGTTTTTTGTGGGCGCGATTTTGTTGCATTTTACGAAGGGTTGTGGCCTCGTGAGCGCGAACTGGTTGAAATGTGTTAGGGATTGTGGCTTGGGGAGCGCGAGCGCGACGTAATTAACCAGGCGCTGGCCTCAGGAACGCGAAGTTGCTGCATGTTGCTGTGTTCAGCCCCCCCGCCTCCCCTTCAGGAATTCGGACTGCGCGATGCTGTGGCGGGAATGGGATAGTTTTCGGGCTCTCCCGTAATTGTTCGGATTCCCCAGGTTCGGGATCATAAGCGGTGAGGAGAGGAGGTAGCAGGCGAAACGCTTGGGCTGACCTAGCGATACGCCTGATGTTGCTTCTAAGGAGGAGGGGTTGAGGAGGAGAGAGGGGGACGCCACATGGGGAGGGAGGAGAAGGAGGAGGAGGAGGCAACAAGAGAGACAAGACCGATCGCGAAACAATTGAACCTGCCTCGCCGAAGCAGGCTCGGACCGCCTGCTCAGCGCTTCTCAGAACCTTCTGTTACAGGCCGCGAGCGGTTCGCCCGACATTCCCTCGTAATCTTGGCAGGGGGAATGGAGCTGCTGCTGATGACGACGACGTCGACGACGACCACGACGACGACGATGATGTGATCATGATCACGATGATCATACTGATCATACTGATGCTGTTCAGGAAAGTGATGATGATGATGATGGTGACGTTCATAATGATCATGGTGACCATGATGATCAAGATGGTGATGCTGATGAGGATGATGCTGATGCTGATGCTGCTGATGATGGTGATGATGATGGTGATGCAGACGACGATGATGATCATGACGACGATGATGGTGATGATGCTGTTGGTGGTGATGGCGGTAGCGACGATAATGAGGATGCTTATGCGGATGATGATGATGATGATGATGATGATGATGATGATGGTGATGGTGATGGTGATAATGATGATGACGATGATGAGGTTGACGATGATGATGATGATGATGTTGTTGCTGGTGATGATGAAAATTAGCCTGACGAAGGACCCAACCATATGCATGTGTGAGTACCGCAATTGTGATTCCCTTTTTCGGTGGTGAACCCTATGAGGCAACGAACCGTGCTAGGGGTGTGCCGAAATGAGTGGCGTGGTACACGACGCGAACGAAAACGATTGATCTGAGTACGTAGGGAGACTGCGCGCGGGTAAATCTGAGCGCGAGTGCAGCAAATAGAGCCAGCTGGCTGGCTGATAGCGGGCAAGGCTCTTGCCGCTGGGCAGAGCGACGCCGGGCGAGCGAGGCGCGGAACTCCGACGGCCTCAAGCGGAGGTGTGCTGGGTGGGGGAGACGCATGCGGACTGCGCCACGGGGACCTTCGGTGGAGCTCCCTATGGGGCCACGAAGCGCGTGAAGGGTGTGCCGAAATGGGTGTGCGGGACGAATGCGAGCGCACCCGCTGGGACCTTCGGTGGAGCTCCGTATGGGGCCACGAAACGTGTGAGGGGTGTGCCGAAATGGGTGCGCGGGGCGCAAGCGGGCACACCCACTGGGACCTTCGGCGGAGCTCCCTACGGGGCCACGAAACGTGTGAGGGGTGTGCCGAAATGGGTGTGCGGGACGCATGCGGGCACACCCACTGGGACCTTCGGTGAAGCTCCCTATCGGGCCGCGAAGCGTGTGAAGGGTGTGCCGAAATGGGCGTGCGGGACGCATGCGGGCACACCCTCTGGGACCTTCGATGGAGCTCCCTATGGGGCCACGAAACGTGTGAGGGGTGTGCCGACGTGGGTGTGCGGGTCGCGTGCGGGCACGCCCACTGGGACCTTCGGTGGAGCCCCCATATGGGGCCACGAAACGTGTGAGGGTGTGCCGAAATGGGCGTGCGGGACGCATGCGGGCATGCCCGCTCGGACCTTCGGCGGAGTTCCCTGTGGGGCCATGACACGTGTGAGGGGTGTGCCGACATGGGTGTGCGGGACGCATGCGGGCACACCCACTGGGACCTTCGGTGGAGCCCCCATTATGGGGCCACGAAGCGTGTGAGGGGTGTCCGAAATGGGTGTGCGGGACGCATGCGGGCACACCCACTGGGACCTTTTGGTGGAGCTCCTTACGGGGCCACGAAACGTGTGAGGAATGTGCCAAAATGGGTGTGCGGGACGCATGCAGGCACACCCACTGGGACCTTCGGTGGAGCCCCCATATGGGGCCACGAAACGTGTGAGGGGTGTGCCAAAATGGGTGTGCGGGACGCATGCGGGGCACACCCTCTGGGACTTTCGGTGGAGCTCCCTATGGGGCCACGAAACGTGTGAGGGGTGTGCCGAAATGGGTGTGCGGGACGCATGCGGGTACACCCACTGGGACCTTCGGTGGAGCTCCGTATGGGGCCACGAAACGTGTGAGGGGTGTGCCGAAATGTGTGTGCGGGACGCATGCGGGCACACCCACTGGGACCTTCGGTGGGGCTCATTGTGGGGCCACGAAACGTGTGAAGGGTGTGCCGAAATTGGTGTGCGGGACGCATGCGGGCACACCCGCTGGGGCCTTCGATGGAGCTCCCTATGGGGCCACGAAGCGTGAAAGGGGTGTGCCGACATGGGTGTGGGGGACGCATGCGGGCACACCCACTGGGAGGGGGGCAGCGGGAGGAACGCGGGAACGCGGGGCGTTGTCTCTTCAAAACGAGGATCCAACACCACAGGATGGTTGGGAACAACTGACGATGATGCTGAATATGTTGATGATGATGATGATGATGTTGATGATGATGGCGGTGGTGGTGGTGACGATGCTGCTGATGATGATGGTAGTGCTGATGATGAAGGTGGTGATGATGATGGTGCTGGTGAGTGTCATGATGCTGATGATGGTGATGATGATCATGATGGGATGATGATGATGTTGATGATTATGATGGTGGTGGTGATGGTGGTGGTGATGATGATGGTGATGGTGATCATGATGATGCTGGTGCTGATGATGAGGATGATGATGATGCTGGTGATGATGCTGCTGCTGATGATGATGCTACTACTTCGGCGGATGATGATACTGATGAATAGTGGTGGTGGTGAAGATGATGCAGAAGATGGTGCTGATGATGATGCTGCTGGTGATGATGATGATGATGATGCTGATGATGCTGACGATAATGATGTTGCTGCTGATGATGGTGATGATAATGCTGATGGTGATTATGGTGATGATGGTGCTGATGCTGATGATGCTGACGATAGTGCTGCTGATGATGATGGTGACGATGATGATGATAATGATGATGATGATGATGATGATGATGATGATGATGATGATGATGATGATGATGATGATGATGATGATGATGATGGTGGTGGTGGTGGTGGTGGTGGTGGTTGTGATGATGCTGCTGATAATGATGATTCTGGTGCTGGGGCTGAGGCTGATGATGATGATGATGATCATATACTGATTCTGCTGATGGTGGTGATTATGATTAATGGTGGTTGATGATGATGATGATGCTGATGCTGATGATGACGATGATGATGATGATGCGGCTACTGCTGCTGCTGCTGATGATGATGATGATGATGGTGATGGTGATGATGCTGCTGCTGATTGATGATGATGCTGGTGATGATTATGCTGATGATGATGATGCTGATGATGATGCTGTTGATGATGATGATGATGATGATGATGATTATGATGATGGTGTGATGGTGATGATGATGGTGATGATGATGATGATGATGCTGCTGCTGGTGATTGTGATGATGGTGATGATGATGATGATGATGATGATGATGATGATGATGATGATGATGATGATGATGATGATGATGATGGGGAGGAGGATGGGGCTCGTCCTGGACACCCCCAGGCGATGGCTTCCCGCGTCGGCGGCGGAAGAAGCCAGGGAACCCGGACGGCACCGCGTCCGCGGGTCTGCTGATGAGCATTCCGTCCGAGGAGCCCGTGATCTACAGGGAGGAGGCGGGTGCGCGTGGCCTTTCTGAGGGGAGGCAGGGAGGGAGGAGGAGGGCTGCGGAGAGATCAGGAGGGACGGAGCAATTTGGGAGGAGGGAGAGGGGGAGGGCAAGCTAGGTGCATTCGCGTCATATTTGACGTCCTACCCCTCCCTCCCGTCCCTTACCATGGCGTAGATCTCCTCTCTATTCGCACAGTCGGATGCCGAGCAGGGCAATGATCGCGAGAGGGTGCGCGATGCATCGTAGAGCACGGCATGGCATGGCGTAGAAGAGCACGGCAGAGCGTAGAATGTCATAGCATGGCGTGGCATTACGTGGTGAAGCACTGCACCACAAAGCATTGCACCGCAAAGCGTGGCATCGCACAGCGGCGCAGAACATAATACCGCACAGCATGTCATGGCAGGGCACCAGTTTCCTTGGAGGGTAAGTGGAAAGTCTTCGAAGGGTCGGGGCCCGTCTGGAGTCGCGGCTCCATGTTTAGCTCCCTGGGCTCCGCGACAAGCTCCCGACAAGGCGGGGCTGATGGAGAGCACCCGCTGGCTCTGCTTGCAACATCGCCTTCTGAATGCAAAAACGGGGCTCCCGCTTGATACTTCCTCCAAACGACGCCGCCCCGAGGTGGGAGGCGATGCTTTTTTTGTTTTGGTGGTTATTTTTCTAGACTGGGGGCCTATTGGAGGGACCGAAAACGCCCGCGCTGCAGCGGGAGCACGTTTTGAAACAACCAGAGGCGCAGAAATGGGTCCAGCGCAGCAGCGGGAGCAACATTTTGAAGCCCAGAACCAGATTGCCAAAAACACATCTGACAACCAGGAAATGAGGCCACCGCTGCAGCGGGAGCACGATTCGGAACGAGCGGAAGCGCGGAAACGAGGCCAGTGCTGCAACGGGAGCATGATTCGGAACGAGCGGAAGGCCGAAATTGAAGTTTGCACTTTAGCGGGAGCAACATTTTGGAAACAAGCCGAAGCGAAGACCCAGTTCCCGGGAATCTTGTGTGAAGACACCAGTACGCGGAGGGGGGCCGAATATTTTCCAGACGTCATTAGGGAGAGAGGAGAGTAGTATTCATATTGTAATCGTGCTGGGATGCGGAGGAGGGGGATGACGACGGATCAGGAGGAGGGATGATGATGATGATGATGATGATGATGATGATGATGATGATGATGATGATGATGATGATGATGATGATGATGATGATGATGAGGAGGAGGAGGAGGAGGAGGAGGAGGAGGAGGAGGAGGACTCCTCCGCTTCGTTCAGCCTCGTACTCGTCGTCCACCATTTCTCCCTCATGCTCGCGCGTGTCTTCCTACTCGTTGTCCTGACCCCCTCGCTGCCCTCTCCGTCATCCACGCTGCCATCCTCGACATCCGCCGCCTCGTCGTCGCCATCATCCTTTTCTTCTTGTCCCCCCTACGTGCCCAAAGGACAAATCGGCGCTTCCCGTTCTTGTCCGACCAGGTTTTCTTGATACTCTTCCCCAACCTGCCATTTGATTCGTCTCAGTTTCCATCCCCCTCGTTCCCGTTGAGCGGGAGAGAGCGGTTGCGGGGCCAGGTGCTCAGACGTCGGTATCCTCGCCGAAAGAGTTGGCCCTCGTCCCAGGCGATGGGCGGGTCTCTTGCGGAGACGGCTGCCAGCAGACGAGGGTGCAGGGTCCAGGGGCGGGGTAGGAAGAGGAGTAGGAGGAGGAGGAGGAGGAGGAGGAGGAGGAGGAGGAGCAGCAGGAGGAGGAGGATGATTGGGAGGAGGAGGAGG